GGGGGTGGGGCACCCCAGCGGCGGGGATCCGGGCGTCAAACCCCTACCCCAGCTTTGTCCCCGGGAGACCCTGGTCAGACACGTAGTGTCCTAAGAAATTCACTTTGTGCTGGGCAAAGTGGCACTTGCTCAACTTGGCGTAGAAGCCATGTCTGCGCAAGCGGTCAAGGATGTCATGGAGGTGTCTCAAATGCCCCTCAAGGGTACGACTGTAGACCAGGATATCGTCGAGGTAGACGAGAATGTACTGCTCCAGGATGTCCCTGAAGATGTCTTTCATCGCCCTCTGGAAGGTAGCGGGTGCGTTGGTGAGGCCGAATGGCATCACCGTAAACTCATAGTGGCCGAAGCGCAATCGAAACGATGTCTTCGGCTGGTCCGCTGCAGCGACGTGGATCTGATGGTAACTAGTATGAAGATCAATCTTCGTAAAGAAGCGGTTGCCTGCTAGGCGGTCGAATAACTCGTCGGAACGAGGCATGGGGTAGTTGTTCTTAACCGTGTAGCGGTTGAGACTGCGATAATCGATGCAGAGACGGAGAGTTTCATCCGCTTTCCGAGCAAAGAGGACGGGTGCAACCCACGAGGAGTTGTTGGGTTTAATGAAACCCAGTCTCAGGAGCTCCTCAAGCTGACGCTTGAGTTCGGTGGCCTCGGGGATCGAGAGTCGATAAGGTGCCTGATGGTGAATACGATAGTTAGGCACAAGCTGGATGAAGTGTTCGACGTTGCGCATCGGTGGGATGCGGGCGTACGAGAACGACGATGGGAAAATGTCATGGTACTCTGGATGAGGTCACGAACTGCGGGCTCCAGGTCAACCGTATATCGTGCGAGTTCCTCAGCGTCAGCGTCAGCGCGCGACGACGGGGTGACCTCGGTGGACGGTGGAGGGTGGGAAGTACAGATGAGAGCCATGGAGATAGAAGGAGGATCTAGCTCCAGAGGGATGAGCTCAGCGTCGGGACAGGGTGTATCATATAGTAAGAGATCTGTAACGTTCACCATAAAGAAGGTGACGTCGCCCGGTCAGATGAAGTGAGCAAACTACTGAGGCGAGGTGACAGTGATCGTAGGAGATGGTGTGGGCACAGAAGGCTCCGGGGGAGGAGGATCGGGGTGTGGTGTCGCGGTGGTACCTATGAAAGGTACGCGATACGTCTGTCCACACTTCGTTTTGAGAACGAGAGTGTTGGTCGCCCAATCGGCCTCGGTGCTGCGGAACCGACGAAACCACGGAGTGCCGAGAATGAAGTCGTACCCCGTCTCCATCACATCGAAATATGCAGAGGAGCGGTGGCGACGAGACGTCGGGGGATGATCAGTAGGCTCGAGAGTGAGGAAAAAAGGGGAGGTCGGTGACCGTCTGATCGAAGAAACGTTGGGTCTTGTCATCCCCTAAGGTGACAGAGATGGGAGTCGGAGACCCTGTCGTGGGTAAAAGGGCTTCTTTCACCACACTTGGGTAAATGAAGTCGCCCTGAGAACGGGGATCCCACAGCGTTGAGTACAGCCTCGTGGAGGTCCCCAGTCGTACTGGAATGATCGGGAGGGTGCGATCAGGGTGAGAGAGGATGGTGAGGAGGCGACGTATTGCAATGACATGGAGGGTGAGTGGCTCGTGACGAGCCTGAAGCATGCTCAAGTCCAGAAGAGAGGACACAATGTTCTCGTGAGTCGCAAGCTGCTCGCTGCAACGGGCTGAACGAATGGCTCGACGTGTCAGTAGTCGCAGAGGGGTAGGAGGGGAGACAGTGGTATGCGGAGACGCAGGCGGTACTGCGACAGAGAGCTGAGTACACTCTGTCGGGTCCTACGAGACCTCAACTCCAGTACCGAGAGGGGCAAACCGCGACAGGGATGTCGGGAAGCCGACTACTGAGGAGGGCGCAGTGTACACTGCACCGTGGCTAGGAGGCACCGCGGGGATGCGAGGCGTCGAGGGGGGCCTGAGCACGACGCTGGCGGGAAAGGTCAGCGTAGTGGCGGTTGAGGGCGGCAGTGTAAGGGCACCGCGAGGAGGTATGGCCGTCCTGGTGGCATCGCAAACACACACGCCGACCCAAAATTGCCACACGCTCCTCAGCGGAAACGCCGGAAAGAACACCGCGAGGAGGGACAAAGCCCTGAGGGAGCTCCTGTTGAGGGACCTCGGAGGGCGATGCGCCAGAGTGACCGGGGCAGCTGCGTGCCCGGGAGAGGGCAGAGAGGATGAGCTGGAGGCGCTCGGCCATAGGGAGAGTAGAGTCCTCCAGGTGGTAGTGGACGGCCTCGCCGAGGTCGAGGTCGTCGCTATGGTCACCCTTTGGCGACAGAGGGGCAACAACGTCCTGCTCACCATACTCGAGTACGCTGAAGCGGCGCGAGGAGTGGCGATCCTGCTGCGCAGAACGGCGGGGGCGACCGTGGAAAGGGGAACGACGCTGGAAAGTGTCGTGAGAGGAGGAGGGGGCATAACCAGTACGCTGAGGTTGGGAGGAGGAAGTATGTTGAAGACGGGCCCGCATCCGTTGATGGTCCCTGGCGGCCTCGTAAGCCTGCGGGGCCGATGTGAACTCGTAACGCCATAGCTCGGAGCGGTACTTAAGGGGAAGGTTGGCCAAGAAACGATCGATAAGGGCAGCCTCGAGAAGGAACTCCACATCACAAATGAGGCGGGCATCCTGAAAGACCTGGATGTGGCGATCCAGGCCGGCAGCGCCACCAGAGTTGGACCAGCATGTAGTGACGACACGCTCGAAGGCGTCAGTCATGTCATGTCGGGCTCCAAAGCGATCCTCGAGGAACGCCTGAAAATCCATGAAGGTCGGAGTCCGACCCGCACGAAGGGAGTACGCGTAAAAATCCTCCCAGGCGTCGAAAAGACCACCACGCAGGCGCATGGAGAGGTGAGCCACCCACGTGTCGGGTGGGGCGCCCATGAGCCGCATGGTGCGGATGGCAGATTGTAGCCATCGAGACACGCGTATGCCTGTACCGTCATACAAGGCAATGTCCGTCAGGCGAACGAGTGGTGCGCCAACATTTTGGCGGCGAGGAAAGCGGGGAGCAGAGGCCTGCGCTACGGCCGAGTAAGTCGGCGCAGGTCTTGGGGAAGGGGGTGCAACTGACTGTCCGCCCGGGCCGCATGGTGGAGCGGCAGGCGAACAACGGCAGGCTGCGAGGGAGCTGCGGTCGATGAGATCGCAACAGCCGAGGGAGTAGGAAGGAGGTAGGATGGGCGTGGAGGGGGTGCAGGGCGGGGGAAGCGAGCCAGCAAGAATGGGAGAGTAGAGGAAGAAGGGGGTGCGCCCGAAGGCGCGGCCACCTGTGAGGGCAGGGGTGGCTGAAGGCGTAAGAGGGCGAGGTCGGCCCGGGTCTGGGCAAGATCGTCCTCGAGACGTCGAACGTAGATCGAGCAAGGAGTAGCAGGAGGAAGAGTGGGGGAAGTGGACGCACGAGCGGCGCGGGGCATCTCAAAGGGGGGAGAGCCAGGTGGCGCTGCGGTCGTGCGAAGGGGAGGGAGAAGCGGGGCACCCGAAAAAGATGAGACCATGGTAGCGGGTTGTGGTCCTGTGGCCGTAGGGACCGAAATTTGGGCGGGTGCGCCCGTAGACTGAGGGAGGGCTTGACCCTTGGCGGCCGTCGCACTAGGAGCGTGGACGGTCACCAGGATGGCCGGGTCGGGGGCGGCAGAGGAGGAGGCTCCGTCGTGGCCACCATGTCGGAGGACGGGGGACCCGGACTGGGAGCCACGAAAAGAGAGAGAGTGGGGAGAGGAAGGATGACCAGCGTCGTGAAGTTGCCGCAGGCCAGCGACAAGAGTCCCCATCTGCGCCTGTAAGGGCGCAAGGAGGGAGGTGATGAGGGTGTGCAGATCCCCCTGGGTTTGACGATCCTGGCCCGTCGGCATGGGTGTGGAGCCTGATGCCAAGGTCGTCGCCGCCTCGGCGGCTTGTGACACGCCGTCGGCCATGGGGAGGTAACGGGCTGGACTAGAGAGGGTCGGAAGAGATCCGCATGAGTGGAGGGCGTAGGGGGAGGTCCGCGTGAGCGGAGGGCGTAGGGGGAGGTCTGCGATAGAAGCAACGGGCGGCTCTAGTAAATCGAGCGCGGACGTCGTCAAAGGGGGAGGGGTGGTTCTGATCCAGGGTGGCCGAATGAGAAGGTAAAGTAGGGGGGTTAGGAAAACCCTAAACCCTAAAAAAACCCTAAGAAAACCCTAACCGGAGTTTGAGTGGTTAGGGTAGGGTACCAGTGACCTAATCAAGAAAAAAAAATAGCAAGCAGGGGGGGAAGGCGGGAGGGAAAATAAATAAACAGCGAAATTTCGAGAGAAAAATAAAAATAAATAAATAAATAATAAAAATAATTAAAGAAATAAGGAAATAAAATATGAAGAGAGAAATAATATTTATTTTTTAATTAAAAAAAAAAAATTCGGCAGTACTTCCCTACCCCCCATGGGGTCAAGAATGTGCCAAGGGAAAGGAGAGACCAAGATAAGCACACTAGATTTCAAAATGCCAAGGGAGATGAGATTAGTAGAAGATGGTGAGTGGGGAGGAGAGGAGAGAAAAAGGTGGTGGGAGATGAGTGAAGAGGGAGGTGGGATGAGGGGGGTAGTGGTATAGTTAGAAAGGATGATTAGATGATGGGGGGGGTAGAGAAAAGGGGTTTGGGAAGAGTAGGTTAGTGGAGAAATAATACAAGGCTTTTGGTTGGCCAAGAGCAAAGCACCACCAAGATTCACAAGATCTTGGCCTTCAAGGTGCTGCTGGCCTGATGCCAAAGTAATAAAAGATGATGATGATGATCTAGGGTTGGCTGAGATCTTGATCAGCCACCCTACTGCCACAGTCACACAGCCCCCTAGCTAGGGGGAATCTTGAGCTGTTCCGAAACTGCTGCTGCAGTAGGAGAAAAATAGTAAAACAAAATAATGTAGCGCAACCCCCTAGCCAGGGGGGTCTTCAGTCTTCAGAGCAGGCTACCACGTGGCACTGCAGATGGCCACGTGCGCAGGCAG